CTGTATTAAGTTCAGTCCAAAAAGAGTTCTGATGGTGTAGTAGTTAAGGTGTTTGGCTGCTAACCAAAAGGCTGATGGTTTGAACCCACCAGCTGCTCCATGGAAGAAAGATGAGGTAGCTTGCTTCTTTAAAGATTTATAACTTTGGAAATCCAGTGAGGGACCCTATGAGTTGGAATTAACTCAATGGCAGTGAATTTGGTTTTTTTGAAGTTCAGTCCACTGGCTCTTAAAGTTATAGTGCCTGGACCAACAGTATCAGCATCACCTGAGAACTTATTAAAAATGCAGGTTCTCATATATTAAGCTGAAACTCTGGGGATAAAGCCCAGGAACCTGCATTTTAATAAGCCCTCTATGGGGTTCCTGTGCTCATGCAAGTTTGAGAATTTGATCTAGATTGTTAAGCTTCTTTAGGGCAAGGAACATGTCCTCATCTTTCTATTTCTTATAACGAAGGTTCTTAAACTCAGCTGATCATCAGATTAACTTGAAAAAGTTTTTGTTTATGTTTTAAAATACAGCATGCTAGGTTACAAGGAGCTCTGGTGGTGTTGGCCTAAGGCATTTGACTGGTAACCAGAAGGTTGTCAGTTCAAACCCACCCAGCCACTCTGTGGAAGGAAGACTTCCGTAACTTGCCTCAGAAACCCGATGGGGATCACTATGAGTCAGAATTGACTCGATGGCAGTGAGTTTGGTTGTTTTTTAGTTTTATGTTGTGCTGTTGTTGTTATTTGCCGTAGAGTTGGACCTGACTCATAGTGACCCCTCCTTAGGCTTCCGAGGTGGTATCTCTACAGAAGTAGATTGCCCAACCTTCCTTCCGAGGAGTGGCTGGTGGGTTTGAATCACCAGCCTTCTGGTTAGCAGTCAAGTGCCTTAGGCACTACACTACCAGAGCTCCTTTTTGGTTTTATACTAGGTTATATCTCTGACAATGCTGGGTTTTTAGGGCTTGGATGGACCCAGAATCACTCCCTTACATGATTCTAAAGCACAGCCAGATATGGAAATTCCTGGCATTTAGTGTCCAGAAGTCCTGGTTCTTGGGAGAACCTCAGACAATATCTGGTTGATTGTCAGGAAATCCAATCCCTAAGTTGCAATCTCTTCATGTGGGTATAGTCCTTTCACTTTTATGAATCAAAGATGGTCCATGGCCTCAGTTGTCTTAGATTCTTACATAGCTCATGGCCATGGAACTATGATTGAATATGGCTTGTATCCATGGAGGGTTGTGACATCAACTTGCTACATGCATCTTCTGCTGTTATTTCCTTTATAGAGAGGTTTCATCCCAGTGAGAATCTCAACCAGTATCTATCTATCTCTATAGTTACTTATTGAACTATCTATTTATCATCTATTTGCCTCTGGAAAGGGCTCAAATTCCAAATAAGTAAATTCTGTCTTTGTATAAGAATCCCTAGAGGCACAATGGTTAAGCTACTAAGGTTGGCAGTTCAATCTCACCAGCCACTCCATAGGAGAAAGATATGGCAGTCCGCATCTGTAAAGATTTAGTCTTGGAAACCTTATAGGGCTGTTTCACTTTGTCCTACGGGATCACTATAAGTTGGAATTGACTGGGTGGCAGTGGTTTTTTGGGTTTAGGTCTTTATATAATACAATAGTCCTCTGAAACTTACCTGATCATTGATTGGGTAAGGGAGCTGTAGTTTTAAATGATACAGGCCAGGGATCTGTAGTTATAAATGGTTCCTCAGGTGGAAGTGATTGGTAGAGAATTCCCACGTCCTCCAATCATCACATCCATCCATCTACCTGTCTGTGTGCCCATAAATTCTGCCTTTTCTGTTACCACAGGTATGGTACATGCTTCTATTTAAGGTCCATAGCTTCACTTGTAAACCAGATCCCATCCCTTTTGCTAGTTCAAGAATATCATGGCAGCATTTCTTTTCTTCTTCTCCTGTATCAACATTATTGTATCATCACCATACAAGCTATCAGAGTGCTACATCTCTCAGATTTAAAAATTTAAAAAATAATAATAATAAAATTAAAAAAAAGACCTCTACTGAATCTCTTGGTTCCCTGTAGCTACTATTCTATTTCTCTGCTCCTTTCTATAGCAAAAGTCCTTGAAAAAGTTGCCTAAAAACATTTTCCCCCTATTTCTCCTTGAATGTGCTGCAGTCAAGTTTTTGTCTTTACTACTTAACCAAAACAGTCCTTGTCAAATTCATCAATGACCTAGGCACTTCTAAATCCAGTGGTCAGTCCTCATCTTTTTGGACCAATGTGACTATTTCATCAGTCTCTCTTTCTTGAAGCTTACTCTGTTAATTCACTTTTTACCTCATCCTATGCTCCTTTTCCCTCTTTGCTGGTTTCATCTCATCACACTGCTTTTAAATGTTAAAGTGTCCCAGGGCTCAATTTCAGATGACCTGCCTTCAAATACCATCCTTAGGCCAACTCAGAAATATTCATGCCTAACCCAAACTACCCCTCTGAACTCTAAACTCATAGTGCCTGAGGCACTTGACTGCTAACCAGAAGGCTGGCAGTTCAAACCCACCAGCCACTCCTTGGAAGGAAGGTTGGGCAATCTACTTCCATAGTGATACTGCCTCAGAAACCCAAGGAGGGGTCGCTATGAGTTGGGTCCAACTCAACGGCACATAACAACAACAACACTCATGGTCTTAACTTGGATGTCCAATAGTGATCTCCAAGTTAAAATGCCCAACACAGAAATCCTGACTCACCATCGGCACCGCTCCCAACCTGTCCTTCACCTGGCTTCCAAGTCTTTGATATTCTTTAATCCTGTCAGCACTACCTTAACATATATCCAAAACCTGACTGAATCTCATCACCTCTTCTACTACTTATGACACGAGCCATCATCATTCTCTCTCACCTGGACTGTAACAGTGGCCTCTGTTTGTTTTCCCTATTACCACCATCATTTTATTCTTAGTAGAGAAGCCAGGCTGATCCTTGCAAAAACCCAAAGCTTTCCCATCTTACGCAGTACAAGCCAAATCTTTAAAGGCCCTATATTATCTGTTCCCATTTACTCTCTAACTTATCTCCTCCACACTTCCTATCCTCTACTACACACTGGCCATATTGACCTCCTTTTGTTCCTTGAACCCACTAAGGATACTCCTGCTTTAAGGCCTCTGCACTTTCTGTTCCCACTGTCTGGAATGTTCTTCCCTCAGATACCCATAATTTAGTGCATCAAGTTTCAGTTCCATTGTTACCTTATGGGAGAAACCTTATATCTAACCACACTTTAAAAAAAGTTTCTCTACCCTTTGCTTCCCCTACCCCACATTCTATTTCTCCCTTATCCCACTGAAATTCTCTCCATAGAACCTGTCACTAATTGATATTGTTTATTTATTCTTATTATGATTTGGGTGAAAGTTTACAGAACAAATTCATTTTTCATACAACAGTTCATACACATTTTGTTTCATGACATTAATTGAAATCCCCACAGTAATAGCCCTCTTTCCACTTCCTCCCTGTGGCTACCTTTTCCCTGTGTCCTTTCCCATGCGCTGCTATCCTCTGGGCTGTCTCCCTGTGCAAATACTGCCCTTCTGATCTCCCATGATTGCTTGTCCTAAGGAGTATACCTACCTGGTATAAATGTTCACCCTTACACCTGTCTGTGGTTTGGCTGGAAGCCACAGGAGTGAGTTCATTCCAGGGGTTACTGGGGGCCATAGTCTCAGGGGTTTTCCCAGTCACTATCAGACCAGTAAGCCTGGACTTTCAATATAATTTATTTTTATTTGTTAATTTCTATGTTGCTTGTCTTCTTCTACTAGAATTGTAAGCTCCATGAAGTAAAGGACTTGGTCTTTTTTTTTTTTTTTTTTCATTGCTGTGTCCCTTAAGCTAAGCAGTGCCTGGCACCTAGTCAAACAAAACCCATTACCAATAAGTTGATTCCAAATCATAATGACCCTTTTTAGGACAAAGTGGTTTCCAAGGCTGTAAATCTTTATGGAAGCAGACTGTCTCATCTTTCCCTGCAGAGCAGATGGTAGGTTCGAACTGCCAACCTTTTGGTTAGAAGCCAAATGCTTCAACCACTATGCTCTCAGAGCTCCTTTTCTACCCAGTAGGCACTCTTTAACATTTGCTGAATGAATGAACAAATGAATGAATGGTCAGCTAGACTGAAGACCTTTCCTGTACAACATCATTTTTTATATAACAATATAATTTGAATAATTCTTTGAAGTGGTATTAACAGGATTTCACAGGTAACTCATGATTTGCAAAACTGACTACTAGATTGCAGGGTTCATAATTGGAACTTCAAATTATACATGATTACTCCTCAGCAGCTCTTAATAAAGCAGCTTTCTTTATGTAAACATGGCCTGGCTGCTGGGGAGTCTGTTAGGCCATGGTGTCATCATAGAATATTTATGCTCTCTTTTAATGAATCACAAGTGGTAGACTCATCCATTGTGTTTCATTGTTTACCTTTAAATATGTACTATTTAAATATCCTTTCATCAGGGTAGAATTCATTTTAGAAATGAATCAGTTTTGAAATATGCATTGCCTTTGTCCATTGAACACCTCATCCTGCAATTTGTTTTCAGCATTTACTTCCCTGACTGACCCCTATCTTTTCTTTCTCCTTTCTCTTCTTCCCTTCCCTCCCATCCTCTTTATTATATTTTTTATTGAAGACTGAGATGAGCCAGTTGCTGCATCATGGGCCCATTACACTTCCTAACAATTCCATTTGCACCTTATTGTTTGTCTTATTGCTGGAAAATTCAGGTGATTCATCATGCCTGAAGAAGCACCTGATCCCAATTCCCCTGGTACCATGATCACTATGTGACAGGAATGCAGTGAGCAGGGGTGGCTTTCAGAATCTCAGAGGCCAAGGTGATAACTCTTTAGGGACTTTTAGCTTCTCAAGTATTGATGAGTTCCATTTTGTAACGCTCTTTCTCCTCCTCCCTTTCTTTGCTATCCTTCAACAGCCCCCTGAGCCTGGAAAAGGGAAAGAAGTTGATAGAGGACACAGCACATCTCCTGAAGGTACCGATAAGCACTTTTGCAGATATCGGGTGAGTACCTGATGCAGGGTCTTTAGATTTTATTCTTTCCTCACATCGTGTTCAGTTTCATAAATTGGTTTGTGAGGGAAAGAACGTTGTGTCTGTGGTTTTTGTTAATTATATCAGAGAGAAACAGTTTAGAGAGGAAATGAAAGGAAAATTCCAGTGGGTTTTGGTAAGTTATTTAAATACAGCTGAAACCTGAGTTTAATTATTAAAATTATAATCTCCTGAAAGAATGGCATCCAACTAAAGCAGAGGTTCCCAGTGCTGGCTGCACATTAGAATTGCCTGGGAGGCTTTTAAAAATACTGATGCCTAGGCCCGGAAGGAAGATGGGGCAGTCTACTTCCGTAGTGATACTCCCTCGGAAACCCAAGGAGGGGTCGCTATGAGTCAGGTCTGACTCGATGGCACATAACAACAACAACAACAACAGGCCCCACCCCATTGCAAATTATCAGAATCTCTGGAGATAGGGCCTGTTAGTGAAAGTGCAGTCAGTATTTATTGAAAGCCTGCTGTGTACACAGCCCAATTACTGCCTCTGATGAGAACTCAGGATACAACTTCACCCCCACTAGGATGGTTATTATCAGAAAAATGGAAAATGACAGGAGTTGGAGAAGGTGTGGAGAAATTGGAACACTCATGCATTGGTGGTGGGATTGTACAATGATGCAGCTGCTGTGGAAAACAGTTTGGTGGTTCCTCAAAAAGTGAATCACAGAGCAAATATATGACCCAGTAATTCTACTCCTAGACTTGAAAACAGGGACTCAGATGCACACATGGACACCAATGGTCATTGTATTACTACTCACAATAGCCAAAAGGTAGAAACAACCCAAATGTCCATCAATAGCTAGATGGATAAACAAAATGTGGTACATACAGACACATGGGAATATTATTCTGCCATGAAAAGGAATGAAATTCTGATACATGCCACTGCATAGGTGAACCTTGAAAAAATTATGCTAAATGAAATAATTTCTATACAAAAGGACAAATATTATATAATTGCACTTATACGAAATATCTAGCTTGATCAATTGCTACAGACAGAAAGTAGATTAGAGGTTAATAAGGTCTAGAGGAAGGGGAATGGAGAGTTATAATTGTCTAATGGGTACAGACTCTGGAGTGATGAGATGTTTTAGAAGTAGATAGTGGTGGAGATTGCAAAAAACTCTGAATGAATTTAATGCCACTGAATTTTACACTTCAAAATTGTTAAGATGGCAAATTTCCTATTATATATATTTTACCACAATAAATCTAAAAGAAAGAGGGTGGGGATTGGAAGACATGAATGACCCTGCAGCTGAGTGGAAGGAGCCAGAGGCTTTGGAATCTGAAGCACTAAAGTTATCTTAGCACTATAAGCGTCCTTTTCTCATCTATCAAATTGAATGTAACAACAATTGTGAAGGCTTTTTAAAGATTAAATGACATAAGGTGTAAGAGACATGGGAAACGTCCAGTGAATGGCAGCTCCTTTCATTTTCATATATAGGATGCTTGAGAAAGAACATATACATACATGACACAAACTGAAGAAATCTATTGACATAATTAGCGAAGAACTGTGCACATTTGGAAACCCTGAGTTTGGAGAAAAGTTTTGAAAGAAGTGTCAGGATTGATTAGCCTCCATGGAATAAAACATTAAGAACTAGAAATAAAAAGATTTAGCTGAGCTATTTTTGGTATGATTATGGGTATTTTTATATGAATGGATATACCAGTCTATCCATCCCTTCAGTCAACAAATATGTATTTATTTATTTATTCATACAACAGATATTTATTGAGCATATCCTGTGAGCTGGCCTAGCACTAGGAGCTGGGCACACCATTGTGAGCAAGACCCTGTCCCTCCTTTCAAATATCTTGCCATATATTTGGCTGAGACAGATGCTATCCAGCCAGGATAGCAGGAGGGAAGTAGAGACTCAGTGGTAGAATTTGCCTTCTATGCAGGAGACTGAGATTCTACACCTGGCCCAAGCACCTCATGTGTAGCCACCACTTGTCTGTCACTGGAGGTTTGTAGGTTGCTATGATGCCAAACAACTTTCAGCAGAGCTTCCAGACTAAGGTGGAATAGGAAGAAAGACCTGATGTTCTTCTTCTAAAACTCAGCCAATAGAAACACTATGGATCACAGTAGTCCAATCTGCAACCAATCATAGGGATGGCACAGGACTGGACAGCATTTTGTTCTTTTGTGCATGAGGGTGTCATGAGTTGGGGGACAGCTCTATGGCAGCTAGCAACTAACCATGTAGAGTGGTAGGAGATGTGTGAAGAAGCACCTTGTAGTCTTAGGGGCCAAGGAAGACCTCAGGAGGAAGAAATATGTTAACTATACCTACAGGACCAATAGTCAGTGCCCCACAGAGAGATGTCACAGGTATTCTGGGACTGTTTATTCACCACTCATGGGAAGTACTTAGTTAATTTAAAAATAAATAAATAAATAAAAAAGTCTCACTGCCGTCAAGTGGATTCCAACACATTGTGACCCCCTTTGGGTTTCTGAGACAGTAAATCTTTACAGAAGTAGATTGCCCAGTCTTTCTTCTGCTGAGTGGCTAGTGGGTTTGAAGTGCCAACCTTCTGGTTAGCAGTCAAATGCCTTAGGCACTATGCCACCAGAGCTCCACTCAGTAAATACTTTGAGTAAATAAACACATGAACATGCAAAGACCTGGAGGTGATTGAAGAAGCACATAGATTCAGGAATCTGCAGGGGTTCACTTGAAGAGGAATGGTATGAGTGTGTGAGGAGGTGCCACCTACCTAACAGTGGCAGATGAGGCTGTGCACTTCGAGGGAGTCTAGACTTCACCCATAGAACCATGGGGAACCATGGAAGCATTTCCAGTCGCAGAGTGGCAATGGTCAGACTTACGTGTTGAATGGTCAGTCTAGCTGCAGTATGGAAATGATTGTAAAGACTACAGCCTAGAAAACCTTATGGGACAGTTTTACTCTGTAATATAGGGTTATTGTGAGTCAGCGTCAACTCAATAGCACACAACAAAAACAACAGTCATGAAGTACAACTGAAATAAGGGCCTTGTTTGTGATAGGGATTTTGAGAGGGAGCTAATGGAAGAGAAGAGGGCTGAGTGCAGCCACAGCATCTCCCAGGCTCTGGCAATGTTATATGCTCCCCTTACACATGCTCTGCAGAACTGCTCAGACCTGCACTCTCAGGACCACCTTGGTTATCCCATAACTGAGCTTCCCCCTATCAACTTGTATCCCTCAAGAAGCAACTATGAATGATAGCATTCACAGAAGTTGAAAATCCATGATACTTCCAGGATGAACAAGGGGACCAAAGACACACAACCAGAGAACTTAGATTTATATTATGACTTTGGAAAAGTAGCTTTACCCCACTGGGCCTCAATTTTGTCATCTGTAAAGTAAACATCAAACAGATAATGATCTTTAATGCTTTTTTCCAGCCTTAAAATTCTGTAAATCTATGACTTGGAGTATTAGGCAATATGTTTTAACAATCACTATATGGAGTGCTTTGAGAGAGAAAGTAGAGCTTAAGGTAACAGGGCTGGATTTCCCCACTGCCCAGTCCTCCCAAGGCAAAGGTGTGGGTTACAGGGAGACTTCCCTTTCACCTTCCTGTCTCTTCTAGTGTTTGAAGTGGAAGCTGTCTGTTCCAATGTTTGAGGTGTCCACATGTAACAGTTTGGATGATCCTCAGTAATAAGTTGGCAAAGGTAGGGATGACTTCTCTGCCAGACTGGAAGTGTGTCACCTGGGTCTGGTAGTGGATGCATTTGACAGATTCTTTATATTCTCTTTACTTCTTTCAAAGTAGTCCCTTCAAGTCTCATCTTTCCTTTGTAGGCCTCAAAAACTTCCTCCAAGGCCACTCCCCAAACTCCAGTCCCCCTGACCCCTGCACTCTTTCTCACCTCAGTCATTCTGGTAAGAACTCTATGTGATGCTGACCTCAGGGTCTTACCATTGCATGATCTGTGACATTTTCTTCTCTCAACAAAACCCAGCTCTTGGACATCAGAAGCTCTAGTTTTCAAATCTATCTCTGATGTGGCCTTCAAGGGCATTTTGGGGGGAAGTCACTGAACCCATGTGTCACACATCTTTCCGTAGCTATCTTCAAGTGGCTGTTGCAATGTGGATGCCTTATTCTACACAAAGGGCATGGTAAGGAAAGTTCAGAACAGAAAAAGCACTAGGATTCATATTTTAAGATATTTTTTTCTCTATGTTCCATTGTCTTAAATTCCCATAGAGAAAGCACAAGAAAATGTCTTTCTTGACCAAAATCAGTCTGGGTGCACAAAATGATGGGATTGCATCCGCATCACATAGGGATATGGGCTCTTGTTCTATATTCAGTTGATGTCCATCCATAGAATGAGGACCCAGCACTGATCTAGATGCAGCCAAACTAAACCAAACCTACTGCCATCGAGTTGATTCTGACTCATAGTGACCCCCTTTGGGTTTCTGAGATGGTAAATCTTTAAGGAAGTAGGTTGCCCAGTCTTCCTTCTGTGGAGTGGCTGGTGGGTTTTAACCTCCAACCTTCTAGTCAACAGTCAAATGCCTTAGGCACTGCACCACCAGAGCTAGGTGCAGAAGAGGGTATAAAGCAAGTGAAAGATACATTCCTGCCCCTGAGTAGTTTGCAGTCTGGCCGAAGAGACAAACAAATAGAAAATTGACAGAGAACCATGGACTTAGTAGAACTGGACAGCTGCAATTGATCTTTGATGTCAACGCCCTCATTTTCAATCCAGGGGACTGTGGTCTAGTAGGGAGACTAACTCATCCCCCGGCAGCCAAAGAGAGCTAGAGCTGGGCCTGTCTTGGGGGCCATACTATCATTAAAATCAGAAAAACAATTGATAATGAGTTGACTGTGACTCATGGTGACTCCGTACGTGTCAATGTAAAACTTTATTCCATAGAATTTTCAATGGCTGATATTTTAGAAGCAG